TATTTTGGCTTTTGTTGCCATTAGTTTTGGTATGTTAGTCATGAAGTCCTTGCCCATGCCTATGTCCTGAATGATATTGCCAAGGTTTTGTACTAGAGTTCTTATGATTATATGCCTTACATTTAAATATTTAACCCATCTGGAGTTAATTTTTGTATAGGATATAAGGAACGGATCCAGTTTCAGCTTTCTGCATATGGCTGGCCAGTTTTCCCAACACTATTTATTAAATAGGGAATCCTTTCCTATTGCTTCTTTTTGTCAGGTTTGATCAAGTGATTGTCGATGTGTGGCATTATTTCTGAGGACTCTGTTCTGTCCCATTGCTCTATATATCTGTTTAGGTACCAGCACCATGCTGTTTTGGTTATTGTTACTTTGCTGAAGTTGCTTATCAGCTTAAGGAGATTTGGGACTGAGACAATGGGGTTTTTAAAATATACAATAATGTCATCTACAAACAGAGGCAATTTGGCTTTCTATTTTTCTAGTTGAATACACTTCTTTCTCTTGCCTGATTGCCCTGGCCAAAACTTTCAATACTATGTTGAATAGGAGTGGTGAGAGAGGGCACCCTCGTCTTGTGCCAGATTTCAAAGGGAATGCTTCCAGTTTTTGCCCATTCAGTATGATATTGGCTGTGGGTTTGTCATAAACAACTCTTATTATTTTGAAATATGTTCCATAAATACCTAGTTTATTGAGAGATTTTAGCAAAAGGGGCTGTTGAATTTTGTAGAAGGACTTTTCTGCATCTATTGAGATAATTATGTAGTATTTGTCATTGGTTTTTTCTATGTGATGGGTTATGTTTATTGATTTATTTATGTTGAACCAGCCTTACATCCCTGGGATGAAGGTGACTTGATCGTGATGGACAAGCTTTTTGATGTGCTGTTGGATTTGATTTGCTAGTGTCTCTGCCAGGTTTTGGTATCAGTATGATGCTAGCCACATAAAAAGAGTATTGCCTCTTTTATATTGTTTTGAGTAGTTTCAGAAGGAATGGTATCAGCTTTTTCATGAATTCAGCTATGAAGCCGTCTGGTCCTGGACTTCTTTTGGTTGGTAGGCTATTAATTGCTGCCTCAATTTCAGACCTTATTATTGGTATATTCAGGGATTCAACTCCTTCCTGGTTTGGTCTTGGGAGCGTGTAAATGTCCAGGAATTTATCCATTTCTTCTAGATTTTCCAGTTTGTTTGCATAGTGGTGTTTATCAGTATTCTCTGATGGTAGTTTGTATTTCTGTGGGATTGGTGGTGATATCCCCTTTATCATTTTTTATTGCATCTATTTGATTATTCTCTCTTTTCTTCTTTATTAGATAGATAGACCACTAGCCAGAGTATCTAGTTTGTTGTTCTTTTCAAAAAACCAGATCCTGGATTCATTGATTTTTTTGAAGGGTTTTTTATGTCTCTATCTATCTCCTTTGGTACTGCTGTGATCTTAGTTATTTCTTGTCTTCTGCTAGCTTTTGAATTTGTCTGTTCTTGCTCCTCTAGTTCTTTTAATTCTGACATTAGGGTGTCCATTTTAGATCTTTCTTTCTCTTGTGGGCATTTATTGCTATAAATTTCCCTCTACACACTGCTTTAAATGTGTCCCAGAGATTCTGGTATGTTGTGTCTTCATTCTCATTGGTTTCAAAACATCTTTATTTCTACTTCATTTCATTATTTAACCTGTAGTCATTCAGGAACAGGTTGTTCAGTTTCCATGTAATAGTGTGGTTTTGAGTAAGTTTCTTAATCCTGAGTTCTAATTTGATTGCACTGTGGTCTGAGAGAATGTTATAATTTACATTCTTTTGCATTTGCCGAGGAGTGTTTTACCTCTAATTATGTGGCTGATTTTAGAATAAGTTTGATGTGGTGCTGAGAAGAATGTATATTCTGTGGATTTGGGGTGGAGAGTTCTGTAGATGTCTATTAGGTCCATTTGGTCCAGATCTGAGTTCAAGTCCTGGATATCCTTGTTAATTTTCCATCTGGTTGATCTGTCTAATATTGACAGTGTAGTGTTAAAGTCTCCCACTATTATTGTGTGGGAGTCTCATTCTCTTTGTAGGTCATTAAGAACTCGTTTTATGTATCTGGGTGCTCCTGTATTGTGTGCATATATATTTAGGATAGTTAGTTCTTCTTGTTGCATCGATTCCTTTACCATTATGTAATGCCCTTCTTTGTCTCCGTTGCTCTTTGTTGGTTTAAAGTCTGTTTTATCAGAGACTAGGTTTGCAACCCCTGCTTTTTTTGCTTTCCATTTGCTTGTTAAGTCTTCCTACATCCCTTTATTTTAAGTCTATGTTTGTCTTCGCACGTGAGATGGGTCTCCTGAATACAGCACACTGATAGGTGTTGACTCTTCCTCCAATTTGCCAGTCTGTGTCTTTTAATTAGGGCATTTATCTCATTTACATTTAAGGTTAATATTGTTATGTGTGAATTTGATCCTGCCATTATGATGCTAGGTGGTTATTTATTTTACCCATTAATTGATGCAGTTTCTTCATAGTATTGATGGTCTTTACAATTTGGTATGTTTTGGCAGTGGCTGGTACTGGTTGTTCCTTTACATGTATGTTTAGTGTGTCCTTCAGGAGGTCTTGTAAGGCAGGGCTGGTGGTGACGAAATCTCTCAGCAGTTGCTTGTCTGTAAAGGATTTTATTTCTCCTTCGCTTCTGAAGCTTAGTTTGCCTTGATATGAGATTCTGGGTTGAAAATTCTTTAAGAATGTTGAATATTGGCCCACACTCTCTTCTGGCTTGTAGGGTTTCTGCAGAGAGAACCACTTTGAGTCTGATGGGCTTCTTTTGTGGATAACCCAACCTTTCTCTCTGGCTGTCCTTAGCATTTTTTTCTTCAATTGTTGTGAATCTGATGATTATGTGTCTTGGGGTTGTTCTTTTTGAGTATTATCTTTGTGGTGTTGTCTGTATTTTCTAAATTTGAATGTTGGCCTGCCTTGCTAGGTTGGGGAAATTCTCCTGGATAATATACTGAAGAGTGTTTTTCAACTTGGTTTCATTTTTCCCATCACTTTCAGGTAAGCTGATCAAATGTAGATTCTTTTCATGTAATCCCATATTTCTTGGAGCCTTTATGCATTTCTTTTCACTGTTTTTTCTCTATTCTTGTCTTCTTGCTTTATTTCATCGAGTGGATCTTCAATTTCTGATATACTTTCTTCCACTTGATTGATTTGGCTATTGAAACTTGTGTGTGCTTCACAAAGTTCTCATGCTGTGTTTTTCAGCTTCATGTTGTTTGTGTTTGTGTTCTTCTCTAAACTGGATATTCTAGATAGCATTTTGTCTAAACTTTTATCAAGGTTCTTAGCTTCCTTGTATTGGGTTACAACATGTTTCTTTAGTTTGGAGAAGTTTGTTATTGCCCATGTTCTGAAGCCTGCTTCTATCAATGCATCAAACACATTCTCCATCCAGTTTTGTTCCCCTGCTGCCGAGGAGTTGTGATCCCTTGGAGTGGAAGAGGCATTTGGTTTTTGGAATTTTCAGCCTTTTTGCACTGGTTTCTTCCCATCTTCATGGATTTATCTACCTTTGGTCTTTGAAATCAGTGACCTGTGAATGGGTTCTTTGAGTTGATGTCCTTTCTGTTGATGTTCAAACTATTTCTTTCTATTTGTTAGTTTTCCTTCTGTCAGGCACCTCTGCTGCAGGTCTGCTGCAGTTTGCTGGAGATTCACTCCAAACCCTACTTGTCTGGGAGTCACTAAAAGGGGGTGCAGAACAGCAAAGATTGCTGCCTTTCTTCTTCTGGTAGCTTCATCCCAGAAGGGCACCTGCCAGATGCCAGCCAGAACTCTCCTGTATGAGGTGTCTGTCAATCCCTACTGGGAGGTGTCTCCTGCATGGGGGTCAGGAAGCTACTTGAGGAGGCAGTCTGAGCCTTATCAGAGATTGAACACTGTGCTGGGACATCTGCTGCTCTCCTCAGAGCTGCCAGGGAGGGATGTTTAATTCTCCCGAAGCTGTTCCCACAACCTCCCGTTTTGCCAGGCACTCTGTGCCAGGTAGGAGGGGGCTTATTTATAAGTCACTGATGGGCTGCTACCTTTCTTCAGAGATGCCCTGCCATATGAGGAGGGAGTCTAGTGACACAGTCTGCCTGCAGCACCCTTGCTGTGCTGCCATGGGCTCTGCCCAGTTCGAAATTCCTGGCAACTTCATTCACACTGTGAAGTTAAAGCTTTCTACTTGAGCCTCAGCAATGACAGATGCTCTTGCCTCCACCAAGCTTGAATGTCCTAGGTCTAGCTCAGACTGCTGTGCTGGCTGCCAGAATTTTAAGCCAGTGGATCTTAGCTTGCTGGTCTTCATGGAGTTGGGACCCACTGAGCCAGATAACGTGGCTCCCTGGCTTGGGAGTGAATGGTTCTATCTCATTTATGTTCCAGGCATCATTGGGGTATGAAAAAAAATACTGCTGAGGCTAGCTTGTTGTCTTCCCAAATGGCCACCCTGTTTAGTGCTGGAAACCCAGGGCCCTGGTATTGTAGGTACTGTAGGGAATCTCCTGGTTTGTGGGTTGTGAAGACTGTGGGAAAAGCACGGTATCTGGGCCAGAGTGCAGGGGACAGTCCCTAATGGCTTCCCTTGGCTAGGAGAGGGAACGGAGTTCCCCTAGCACCTTGAGCTTTCTGGGTGAGGCGATGCCCCACCCTGCTTCAGCTTACCCTCCTTACCCACTGTCTAACCAGTCCCAATGAGATGACCACGTACCTCAGAAATGTGGACATCACCTGCCTTTTGCATCGATCTCACTGGTATCTGCACAATGGTACTGTTCCTATTCAGACATGTTGCCAGCAATCCTCCACCCTTTTATTCTTTTGGCATTTCCTTTCTCTTCACCTTGAGACTTACTATTTCAGATTTAGAAGTATTTAGAAAAAAACAAAGTTAACATTTGGTAAAGCATGATCTCAATACTAAAACAGAAAAAAAATGTATAAGACAAGACCATTATATTAAGAAAGTATCAATGAAGATTTCTGGCATGTAAAATTAAAAAAAATTATTTTGTTATAACCAGTTCAAAAGATGCCATTATTTCAACCATCTGTTGTGCTGTAAATATGTCCTTGTTTTATAGCAGTAACCACTAAATTAGCATTGAGTAAAATGAGTACCTTACTTGTGATATCTAGAGATACCATTGTATTACATAATATATGCAAAGTTTTAAAAATGCACTGTAAGTGTGTTTTCCTCCCCCTTCCCTTTTCCTCTATCACCATACCAAGGAATCCAAAGAGATTCCCTAGGCCAGAATACTCCCTCAGTGTGTACAGTTATTATCGCTATTAAACAGTGAGATAACTGAAGTCCTGGACAATTAAGTGAGACATAATGTCAAGTAACCTGTGCCTTTTAGTTTGGGTTTTCTACTGTAATACTTTATATCATGACCTCATTTAACATAAACATATCTACTTAATGACACACTAAATTAACCAATAGTCTCCACTGTCTCCGTAAAGCAAGCCACTGCTCAGGGAATACTCAAGATAAAATGTTAGCAGGCTACTTTGTTGTTGTCCCACTCATCTATGGAGATGAAAGTTTAACAGGAGTAGTTTGTATTTGTTATAATATCAGTTCATAGTATTTTCACATATTCTGATAATTGCATAATTTAACCAATATTTTAGAAGCAATTAAAACTAGAGAGAAAGAGTGGAAAACTTTGGAATGCTTTGGTATGATTTCATAAAGGTGACACATGATTTTTTAAAACTTTCTAGTTAACTGTAGGGGAAGCAGTGTTAAAACCTTGTAAGTAAGTAATCTGAAAAAAAAAAAAAAACCTACAAATGTAACTAAAATCCAGGTTATCTCCTAAGTATCTGAGTTATTTTTCTAATTAGAAAATTGATCACTGCTGGCAAGATGGCTGAATAGGAAGAGCTCCAGTGTGCAACTCCCAGCAAGAGCGATGCAGAAGGTGGGTGATCTCTGCATTTCCAGCTGAGGTACCTGGTTCTTCTCGTTGGGACTGGTTAGGCAGTGGGTACAGCGCAAGCAGGGAAAGTTGAAGCAGGGCGGGGCATCGCCTCACCCAGGAAGCACAAGGGGTTGGGGAACTCCCTCTCCTAGCCAAGAGAAGCCATTAGGGACTTCTCCCAGCACTCTGGCCCAGATACTGTGCTTTTCCCATGGTCTTCACAACCTGCAGACCAGGAGATTCTCTCCGGTGCCCACAACACCAGAGCCCCAGGTTTCCAGCGTAAAACTGGGCAGCCATTTGGGAAGACACTGAGCTAGCTGCAGCTTTTTTTTTTTTTTTTTTTTTTTCCCCATACTGTTGCAGAGTATTCAGGAGACAACAGAGACCTATGGGTGAAACAGAAGGATTTTATTAAAGTGGCCACCAGCTCAGCAGATTAGCATCCCAAGGAGAAGGAAAATGGGGTACTATTTTTACACCCAGGATGATGTAGCAGCTAACAGGATTATAGAAGCGAGAACAAAGAACAGTTAATTAATTTGTAATGTGTTTTGTGATGTACATTACATTTGAAAAATAGCATTTTGAGAAATGCATTGTATATTCTCTGGGTGTTATCTTGCCCTGTGACCTTGCAGCTGGTCACCAAGAAATACAGGAGTCTTCAGATGCCTGGGGACTTTGCTGAGAATGTTGGGAGAACAGATAAGGTAGGTTCTATGGGGAGTTAATTTTAAGCAGAGCTGGGGCTTAGATTTTATATTAAGTAGTACACAACATAGCAAAAGTTACTTAATTATATAGCAACTAGAAATTTTAAGATTTCATTTTTACTATTATTGCTATTATTTAATTTCCTTCTTCAATACCCCTGTGGTACGTGGAAAGCCAGCAAGTCAGAATCACTTACTGCTCTGAAAAAGGGGACTGAAGCCAGGGAGCTAAGTGATCTGGCTCGGCAGGTCCCACCCCCACAAAGACCAGCAAGCTAAGATCCACTGGCTAGAAATGCTCGTAGCCAGCACAGCAGTCTGAGCTTGATCTGGGATGTTTGAGCTTGGTGAGTGGAGGGGCATCAGCCATTCCTGAGACACGGGTAGGCAGTTTTAACCTTGCCTGTGTATTTACACAGTGACTGGGTGGAGCACACAGCAGCTCAGCAAGGCCTCTGAAGGCAGACTGTGTCACTAGACTCCCCCCTCACTGGGCAGGGTGTCTCTGAAAAAGGCAGCAACCCATCAAGTACTTATAAATAAAGCTCCCACGTTCCTGGCACAGAGCACCTGGGAAAAGGGGAAGTTGTTGGTACAGCTTCAGCAGACTTAAACGTCCCTGCCTGGTAGCTCTGAAGAGAGCAGCTGATCTCCCAGAACAGCGTTCAGGCTCTGATAAGGGTCAGACTGCCTCCTGAAGTGGCTCCCTGACCCCTGTGTATCCTGACTGGGAGACACTTCCCAGAAGAGGCTGAGAGACACCTTAAGAGAGGAGCTGTGGCTAGCATCTGGCAGGTATCCTTTTGGGACGAATCCACCAGAGGAATAAATAGGCAGCAATCCTTGCTGTTCTGCAGTTGATTCCTAGGCAAGCAGTGTCTGGAGTGGACCTCCAGCAGACCTGCAGCAGAGGTGCCTGTTAGAAGGAAACCTAACACATAGAAAGAAAAAGTTTCAACATCAACAGAAAGGATATCCACTCAGACCCCATTCAAAGGTCACCAACTTCAAAGATCAAGGGTAGATAAATCTATAAAGGTGGGAAGAAACCAGTGCAAAAAGGCTGGAAATTCAAAAAACCAGAATTCCCCTTCCCCAAGGGATTATAATTCACCAGCAAGGGAACAAAACTGGATGGGGAATAAGTTTGATGAATTAAAAGCAGGCTTCAGAAGGTGGGTAAAAACAAACTTCTCTGGACTAAAGGAGCATGTTCTAACCCAATGCAAGGAAGCTAAGAACCTTGAAAAAGGGTTATATGAAATGCTAACTAGAATAATCAGTGTAGAAAAGAGCATAAATGACCTGATGGAGCTGAAAAACACAGCGCAAGAACTTCATGAAGCACACACAAATTTCAATAGCCAAATTGATCAAGTGAGAAAAAGGATATCAGAGATTGAAGATCAACTCAATGGAATAAAGTGAGAAGATAAGATTAGGGGAAAAAGAGTGAAAATAAATAAATTAAGCCTCCAAGAAATATGGGATAATGTGAAAAAGCAAATCTATGTTTGATTGGTGTGCCTGAAAGTGATGGGGAGAATGAAACCAAGTTGGAAAACACTCTTTGGGATATTATCCAGGAGAACCTCCCCAACCTAGGAAGGTAGGCCAATATTCAAATTCAGGACATAGAGAGACCACCACAAAGATAATCCTCTAGAAAAACAACCCCAAGCCACATCATCAAAAGCACAGGGTTGAAATGAAGGAAAAAATGCTAAGAGCAGCCAGAGAGAAAGGTTGGGTTAGCCAGAAAGGGATGTCCATTAGACACACAGTGGATCTTTTGACAGAAACCTTAGAAGCCAGAAAAGAGTGTGGGCCAACTTTCAACATCCGTAAAGAAAAAAATTTTCAACCTGGAATTTCATATCCAGCCAAACTGAGCTTCATAAGTGAAGGAGAAGTAAAATCCTTTACAGACAAGCAACTGCTGAGAGTCCTGTGATGTGAACCATCTATGGGTCTCCCAACTGTGGATACCAGTGCCTGTTATGGTGGAGGTGGTAGAGGGTGCAATGGACTCTGAGTGCCCTTAGCGTTGGTGGTTTAATGCTCTACACTTGTGCTTGTTGGCCTCATGGCAGGAGGTGGTGCTTTCTAAAAGCATCAGCTATAGTAAGGTGGAGAGGGACTGGTTGTGGGCAGGGCCCTAGAACTCCCAAAATTATATGACTTTTGTCTTTGGCTGCCACAGTGGACAGAGAAGAACCATCAGGTGGGGGCAGGGCTAGGCGTGTAAGAGCTCAGACTTTCCTTGAACAGATCTTGCTGCAGATGCTATGGGGAATGGGGTAAGAATTCCCAAGTCACAGGAGTTGTATAAGGAGGAGGATTACAGCTGCCTCTGCTCAGGCATGCAGGTTTTCAAGTAAATTAGAGAAAGTTGGCAATCACAGGCCTCAGCCAGCTCTCATGCAAACTGAAGGGACGGGCTTAACCCCACCATGTCCTACTACCCCCAACAGCTCTGAGTCTGTTTTCAAGTGGAGGGCAAGAGAGGCTTGAAAACTTGCCTGCCTTAAAAGACCTCCTGAAGGAAGCACTAAACATGGAAAGAAACAACCAGTACCATTCACTGAAAAAACATACCAAATTGTAAAGACAATCAACAATATGAAGAAACTGCATGAACTAATGGGCAAAACAACCAGCTAGGATCAAATTCACACATAACAATATTAACCTTAAATGTAAATGGGCTAAATGCCCCAATTAAAAGACAGACACTGGCAAATTGGATAAAGAGTCAAGATCCATTTGTGTGCTGTATTCAGCAGCCGAATCTTACTTGTAAAGACACACATAGGCTCAAAGGGATGGAGGAAGATTTAGAAAGCAAATAGAGAGCAAAAATAAATAAAAAGCAGGGATCACAATCCTAATCTTTGATAAAACAGACTTTATACCACCAAACATTTAAAAAGTTGAAGAGCATTACATAATGGTAAAGGGATCAATACAACAAGAAGAGCTAACTATCCTAAATATATATGCACACAATACAGGAGCACCCAGATACATAAAGCAAGTTCTTAGACATATACAAAGAGAATGAGACTCCCAGTGGGAGTCTTTAACATTGCACTATCAATATTAGACAGATTAACGAGACAGAAAATTAACAAGGGTATCCAGGACTTTAACTCAGATCTGGACCAAACAGACCTAATAGACATCTACAGAACTCTCCACCCAAAATCCACAGAATATACATTCTTCTCAGCACCCCATCGAATTTATTGTAAAATCAACCACATAATTAGAAGTAAAACACTCCTCAGCAAATATAAAAGAATGGAAATCATAACAAACAGTCTCAGAACACAGTGCAATCAAATGAGAACTCAGGATTAAGAAACTCACACAAAAGTGCACAACTACATGGAAACTGAGCAACTTGCTCCTGAATGACTACTGGATAAAGAATGAATTGAAGGCAGAAATGAAGATATTATTTGAAACCAATGAGAATGAAGACACAATGTACCAGAATCTCTGGGACACATTTAAAGTGGTGTGTAGAGGGAAATTCATAGCACTAAATGCCCACAAGAGAAATGAGCAAAGATTGAAAATTCACACCCTAACATCACAATTAAAAGAACTAGAGGAGCAAGAACAGGCAAATTCAAAAGCTAGAAGACGAGAAATAACTACAAACAGAACTGAAGGAGATAGAGACACAAAAAACCTTCAAAAAATCAATGAATGCAGGAGCTAGTGTTTTGAAAAGATCAACAAAACAGACTGCTAGCCAGACTAATAAAGAAGAAAGGAGAGAAGAATGAAATAGATGCAATAAAAATGATAAAGGGGATATCACCACCATTTCCACAGAAATACAGCGTACCATGAGAGAATACCATAAACACCTCTATGCAAATAAACTGGAAAATCTAGAAGAAATGGGTAAATTCCTGGACACCTATAGCTTCCCAAGACTAAACCAGGAAGAAGTTGAATTCTTGAATAGGCCAATAACAAGGTCTGAAATTGAGGCAGCAATTAATAGCCTACCAACCAAAAAAAGTCCAGGACCAGACAGGCTCACAGCCAGATTCTACCAGAGGTACAAAGAGAAGCTGATACCATTCCTTCTGAAACTATTTCAAACAACAACAAAAAAAGAGGCAATACTCCCTAACTCATTTTATTAGGCTAACATCATCCTGATATCAAAGCCTGGCAGAGACACAACTAAAAAAGAAAATATCAGGCCAATATCCATGATGAACATTGATGCAAAAATCCTCAATAAAATACTGGCAAGCCAAA